CCCCCCCCCCCCCCTCCCGTGATTTATCCCATTTGCGGATCCCCGCTCGAAAGGTGCGATACAGCGGCGGCATGGAGGAGAGGCGCGTCGCGGTCGACCGAATGCGTCTCAGAGTTCCAGAAATAACGTCGCCCCCTCCAGCCCCGGCCGCCGCCGCCGCCGCCGCCGCCGTTTCTACCCATGTGACGGCGGTGACGGGCACGACGGGGGAACGGATGGAGGGCCGTCGGCGATCTCGGAAGGCGAAGAAGGGAAAAGAGGAGCAATTTTCGCCAGCGGCGGCCGCGGGGGCGTGGACATGTGGGGGTAGTGAAGAGAGGCGGCATCACAAAGGCGGTGGCGGCGAAAACGCTGCCGTTCGAGGCAGCGGTCGAACTGGCTGGGAGGCGGCCGCCTCGGCGCCGGGCGCGTGGGTGGCCGCGGACACCACTCAGGACAGACACGAAGACTTCCGTGCTCCCGGAGAGCTCCGCGACGATTTCTTCGCCGATAACGACGGCAGCGGCAGCAGCGGCAGCAGCAGCGGCGGCGAGGAGGAAGCGGTGTCGGTGCTAGCGGGCTACAGCGGGCAAGACCCCGGTGCGGCCGACCCTCCGGCCTTCGCCGCCCCTGCTTACGCGGCGGGTGCCTATGCGGCTCCGAGGCGAATGGAAGGGTTCGGCGGCGGGAGGGGTTGGAGGGGAAGGGGAGAGGTAGCGTCTGGTGGGGGGGGGTCGGTCGGGAAGGCAGCCCAGCAGCCGGCACAGTCCAGGTATGGTTTTGGAGTGTTTTTCGTTCAGGGGGAAGACACAAGACATCGATGTGCGTGACCACAGTGTTGCTGTCTGCGTGGTATGTGATTTGTTGCTGGCCCTTCCCTGAACCCGGCCTGCTGGTACTCAAAGTTTAACCCTTTTACGCATCCCCTCTCCTCATGGTTCCCCTTGCGCTTCGCGGGAAGCCGTCGGTGTCGTGTACAGCAGCAGTTTTCGCCTTTTTTGGTCTTCTTTTCACAATTCCACGTTTTGTGATTAAATACTGAATAGTTGGCGTGATGCTTCTGAACGCTAGAGTCCATTCTTTTCCAATTGTTGTGCGTGGTTGAACGTAGGGGGCATACGGTGGTCTTCCCCGCGGGAACTATGGGCCTGACCCTAACCAAAGAGATGAGCGGAGGGTGCTCCGTGACGAAGGTGGTGCCTGGGGGTTTAGCGGACTCGAGAGGCGTCGCTCTCGGACAACGAGTGTGCGGTAAGCGCCGCCTGCCTGTCGTGTCCAATTTGTTGTTGTATCTGCTGTTGTGCTCTTGTTGTTGCTGCTGCTGGTTGCAGCTGCTATATGCTTGTTTGTTGTTGCTGTCAAGGGTTAGGAGGGGGGGGGGGCGGGATGCTTCTATTTCTGTTGCCTCCTCCCTGTGTTTTCTATGTAGGCACCTATTAACGGTTAGGGTTGCGCATCGCCAGTGTTGCTCGGGTTCTTGAAGCACCGGGCTCACGCTCTCTCCCAACCAACCCCTACAATCTTGGCCTTTGTGTGCATAGACACCCTCACCTTGACTTAAAAACCGCTGCTACCGCTGTACCTACACTACCGTAGCGTCGGCTATCAAGATTCGCTGGGTGCGAAACCCGAGCATTTGTCGTGTCTCTCAAGTGAGGTAGGTCACCGTGCATCGATCCTTGCTATCGCCACCACCCGTAACAACAGCCGTCAACGGGCAGCCCAGTGGTACGTACGAACACACAATGGCGGTCATCGGCGGCTCGCCGAGACCCATCTCGATCACGTTCGTCACGCCCACCACCGGAGGAGGAAGCGGTAAAGGCGGCCGGTTTTCCGGGGTCGGCGGAGGTCCACCGATTGTGCAGCACACCTGGGTAAGACGAGAGAGAGAGGCGGAGAGAGGCAGACAGGCAGACAGACAGACAGAATACGACAAAGAGATAGACAGAGCCTGTGTTCCTTCGTGCTCCCCCCCCCCCGCTGCTCGCCCTTCATCGTCACCGGTATTTTTTTGGTTCTTGTGTTGTATTATTTTCCTCCCGATCTGAGCGTGCGTTTTTTTGGCCAATATTGCCAGTGCTTCCGTTCGTTTCATCCCGCTGCCGCCTCCGCCCCTACCGCCACCTACAATGTTGCACATCGTCCTGACTCTTCGCGCGTGGTCCTCCGGTCTGTCGTGGCACCCTGGCAGGCGGACGTGGGGCTCGCGGCAACGATAGGGGCCATGGACGCCGCAAACGCTGTCGCGGTGGAGTGGGGACTGGGAGCTAGCACCCCCGGGGTCTTAGACGGGGTGAGGGCGAGAGAGAGATAGCAAGTGTCGTAACAGGCGGCCTTGTTGTATTGGTTGCCTCGCGATATCGACGGCTTTTCGTCATCGCGTGGCTTCATGTTATTTGTTTATTTTTTCGTTGCCTCGCGTCCTCGATGATTTTCTGTGATGGCGTGGTTCGTACTTCGAAAGCCTGTCCCCTTGTAACGCATTCTTGGCATGCACGCGAGTTCCGCGTTCGGGCTGGTAAACTTGAAGTATCCGCGTATTCCGCGCACCGTCGCACACACACACACGCACACACCTCTGTTGCTACCTTTCCTGTCTTCAACCATTACGTGACAGGGTTAGTTTGATTTTTTGTATTCTGCGGTCAAAGACCTTCCAAGCATGCGTGTACACCCATAAATCACGGCGGCAAGGATGGTGCAGCAGTGGGTCCATGTGTGGGGCTGACAGGGATGGGCACGCGGTATACGTAAGGGTGACGAACAGGAGTACAGTGGTACCACTGCTGTACAGCAGTAGCAGCTATGCGGAGGGAAATAGACTGTACGGCAGCAGCAGTAGTTTATGAGCAGGTGTGCATGCCTGTCTCCGACAGCAACCGTCCGCACAGAGGATGTACCTGCGCAAGCAATACCTGTTGGCACATCTTCTCCACCTCATCCTTGGACAGAGCATACGGCAGGCGCATATGCTAGCGGCGCTAGATGCAAAGACGCTGGCGGGAAACCGCCTCACAGAAGCGCCAGATCGACGAAAACGCGGCCCGCTCATTAGAGAATCGAGACCATCATCCACTATCGCGCAAAATGCATAACAATCGTGATTTATCTTACTATTCCGTACTACAAATACAGAGATGTGATCAGAGCTGTGATCGGAGCTGTAGTCCTGAAAACCCTTGCCTTTGAGCGAAATTTTGCACACAGCAGACGAACCACCCTTCACTCCCAATACTGGGAACCACACGCACCGCAATCACAACAACATCAAGCACCGAGGCAGTACGTTAGCATCGGGTCCGGTGTGCGCTTTCTCTGCTCTCCCCCGCGGATGCGGCATCGGGTTGATCACATGTTCAGGGCGCTGTAGGTACCCTCCGGTGATGTTTTGCGTTTGAATCTTGCAGTACCGGTAGGCAGTACATTGGATCTGGAAAGGATATCGCCCCACGTCAGGGAGATTAGGCATGGGTGAATAGTTTTGCATTACTTGAGTCCTGTGCGCATTGCTGATAAGCGTGCTTTTGGGGTGGGCTGCCTGTGTCTCCCTGCTGGTCTCCATGTATGTTTTTTGCTCTTAGCCGAGGCACAACAGCGATCTTTCGGCACGCAAAGTGATCGGAGCTGAGAACGGAGCTGAATCGGCCTGTAGTCACGGAAGGGTTAATCCGGAGAGTAGCCTAGCCTCCCCCATGACGCCCCCTCGCGGATTCCCATCATGTCCCTTAGACTGAAACACTCTCATTGGTCAGACGGTTGGCGCGGTCGATGCAATTTTTTTTTAAGAAACGCATATACATACGCATGCACGCCCTCGTACTTGGCGCACCGACCACGACGATGGCGACGACGCAGGCGCACTCGTCGGGCGCGGGCGACATCCCACCCGCCCCCCAGGGCTTCCGCGTGCACCAGAAGCACAGCCTGATGGCCATCCCCACGGGAGTCGCCGGAGGCTTTGGCAACAGCCTCGCCAAGCACCGGACCTTCGCAGTCGACGTCTCTCCGGACATGTGAGTGAGAAACAGAGACCACCAGCAGCAGCAGCAGCAGGCTACATTATTACCGTAGATAAGAGGCGGGGATATGGCACCCCCCCGGAGACCGACTTTCAAACCTCAATTTCTCCACAACGAAGTTGGTACGCGGAAAGAGCTCGATACGTCTGTCTACGGAAAGCCCTCGACGAGACGTTTACAAAGCTACCATGTTTGGTGTTGGCATAGGCTTGGTCGTGGAGCAATCGAGCTTTTTAGAATCGGTCCGGGGGGGCGGGGGCGGGGGGGGGGTATCTCTCCGCCTCTTACGGTAATCTGCGTCCCATCCTCGGTGGCTGCGGTGCTTGCTGCGTGGTGCGCGGTATTGGCGGGATGGGGGTACGGAGGTGTGGACTGTCACGGTAGGGTTGGCTGTCGCTAAGGGGACGATTTCGCGAAAGTGCTGTACTTCAACGATAGGTGTCTTTCGTGGTGCAGCAGTTGGTACGTCCATTTTCTTTGTGCAGCGGTGTTGAGCCCAGTCTTCTCAAGACAATGATGTAGAGTATCTGTGAGTAAGGTATCAGAGGCTATTGATTGCTGCGTGTACCGCCACGTCTACTATCCCCCCCCCCCCCCCCCCCCCCCCCCCCCCCCCCCCCCCCCCCCCCCCCCCCCCCCNCCCCCCCCCCCCCCCCCCCCTCCACGCACACGCTCTGGACTATATTCAGGAACCAGGAAAGGAAGACCCTAGGGCTCGTTCCTCCCTGTGGCGTGCCCAGCACCACCCCGCCATCCCATTGAATTGAGATTCCATCGACGTGTGTTCAACCATTCCAAACCTCAAGCAAGTACCTCTACTCTCTCTATTTTTGTGTGTGTGTTTCTAGGGCAACGATGAGCACAAAGAAGGCCCTTTCCGACGCCCCCGGCGAGGAGGTCGGGGAGTTCGACGTGCGGTTCGGGGAAGGGGAACTAGGGATGCGGCTGGAGGAGAGGGGTTCCTTCAAGGCATCCAGCGTGGTGGTCAAGATCACGGAGGGTGGTGAGAAAGGAATAGCTTGTCATCGTGCACACGGAAGAACGGAGATGGCTTTTCAATTGGGACGACGTGGACGCCGTAGGGGAAATTCTTACGCCACTGCTGTAGTTTGGATGCGAAGGGGATAACGTCGTGTAGCTTGAATACGAAGGGAAGGGGAAAACATGCTGTAGTTTGAATGCAAAGGGAATATATACAGTGCTTTGTGGTTGTCTTGACTGCCGTATAAGTTGTCGACTGACGCGATGGGGGTGACCGTCCACTCCCCCCCCCCCCCCCCCCCCCCCCCCCCCCCCCCCCCCCCNGGGGGCCCCCCCCCCCCCCCCCCCCCCCACCTGCCTGTGCGCGTTTCGTCATACTGCTTGTTCATATGTGAGCAGGCCAAGCGGTGTCGTTGGGGGTCCGAGAAGGGTGCAAGGTTGTCGGCATCAACGGGGAGAAGTACCTGTCGCACGCTCACACCGTGGCGACGCTGAAGCACGCCAAACGCCCCGTGGTCGTCCGCTTCCGTTTACCGGACGCATCGGGGAGACGGTGACGATATTCCTGCTGTGTCTTGCCAGATACGGAATGCGCAACGCTTGGGAAGACGTTTTTCTGTGCGCGGCCTTTCCGTTGCCGAAGGGCGGGTGGCTGCAGTTGCTGCGGCGCTCTGTGTTGATGCCCGCGGTGTTTTTGGGCGTGCCTCAGGGGTGTTGGTTCGATGCGTGTTTTTGTGGATGGCTAGGGAATAGCGGTGTGTCGGACTTGCTCGGGCATTACTTTAATTCTTGGTCCTGTCTGGACAGCTAGCTCCAAAAAAGTTTGCCGTCGGTAGATAGCTTCCAGCGTGATTGAGACGGTGGTCTAAAGTTGAGAGGTGACCTCTTTAAAACGAGTCCGAGGGGGGGTAAGGGAAGGGCAAGTTAATAGTGAGTTCTCGTGTTGGCGTCCCCTTGGTGTAGTTTTAATCTCTTCGAAGCGGGTCTCGAGTAGAAACAAGAGTGTATACGGTCTCAAGGAAGACGATCCATGTGTGCCCGTCGCCCCCTTGTACATCGTGCGCGCCAAAATTTTGTTAATTATTTATCAAAAGATTTATTTGCGTTGCGGTTGTTCATCCTTGTGTTTTCTTGGTTGGGGGCCGGCGTCGTTGGAGGGGGGTGGTGTTGTGGTCCTCCCGAAAACAGCAGTGTTGTGCAGGCTTAAGCCGCTGCTATGGGCGAACTTGCTGCACGTACCGCTACCTGACTACCCCTGTTCAAGAGAGGCTGCACGCTGGGGACAAAGAAGACCAGGCGAAAAAGCAGAGGACAGAACCCTGATGGAAATGTCGCTATTTCCGCGTGCATCTGTAAGCGCACACAACCTCGGCCACGTTGCATGCACGGGAGGATTCACAAGCTGATTTTCAGCCTTTGCCTCAGGCCATTGGTCGCGCTTTGGTTTGCATCCCCTGCCACAACTCGTGGCCGTCTTTCTCCTCACTCTCAGCACACTGTCAAAAGCATGAGCTGCGTCAGATCACTCGTCGGCATACAAGAAATACCAAGTTTGCTACTGTCACATATTTACACGTTCGTACCGTATGTTCACTCAAGGGTGACACGAACGACAAACAACATATCGCAACGTGTACAACACGCATTCATCCAACCGGTACGCAACCACCGCCCGTGCAAGCAGCTTTCGGGCGTGGCCCTGATTACACAAGCACGAAACACCCGATCGCAGAACGATAGGACCTCTCTCCCTCTCCTACCAAGCACCGACGTGGACTGAAACATCCCATCCCTCTAATAAACATGATACAATGGGGCTCTTGCAGTTTTGCGCGACAAGTCGATGGCACCAACCGCTGGCGACTCCCCGCCGGCATGTGGCGCCACTGGGTCATGTTCTGGAAAGAACGGCTCCCGTCGCCGCCCTCCGCGCACCTGCTCCAGCACCCCCACCCTCCCCTACCCTCCTCCATCGAACGTCCCCCCCGTTTTTACCACCGTGGCCGGCCACCTCCTCTTCCTCCTCCTCCTCGTCCTCCTCCTCGTCCTGCACCTGTATGATGTGGAGGTCGAGCTTGGCATTGGACAAGAACGGCCCCCACTTGCGGTAGGTGTAGGCGTAGAAGATGAGGGTGGACAAGAGGGCGATCACGGAGATCGCGCCGGCGGCGACGCGGTGCGCGACGGAGCCATCGTCGAGGGTGATCCAGCCCACCTCCGCCAAAACGCCCATGAACAGGGGGATGCCTGTAGTAGTAGAAAAAAAAAAGGGCAGTGACCGTGGGTATTGGGGCGTGGTGCCTACTGGTATTGTCTAGACCGTTCGCAACGCATTCCGAGTAAAACCAGAGCAATCACCGTTGTCATTCTCAGCGGAACACCCAATATAGTCACCGACAGTGCTTGAGCGCTCTTTGGTGGGGTGTACCTTGCACATGACTGTGATGTCTTCCTTATGCAACGCTGTGCGGTGCAGACTGCTCCCGCTAGACCCTCGCACACCCAGCAACCTCGGACAAGCGCACTTCCTAACTGTACTTACAGATTGTAGCGATGAAAAAGTTAGTGGCAACCCTTTACGACAGGCAGTGAGTGCCGTTGCTCACGTCTTGTTTGTTTTGATACTCACCGATGTTGAAGGCCCGAAAACTGAAACGCCAGTCACTCTCACACCTGGCACCGGCATGCCACGATGTTTGATGTCACCGACATCAAACCAAAAGGAGGAAAATGAGGGAACGCACGAATGACCGATCAACGGGCGTATCACACTGAAACACACAAGATGCATGTGCATGGTCTCAGTCACAGCAGTCACCGGTAGATCAGAGGCAAGTCAAAAATATGGCCACAGCAAACAACATGCGGGCTCCTACGTGCGTAGATGGTACAGGGTTGCAAAACAATCCGCCAGAGCTTTTTCAGCTAGGTCCAGAGACCACCTGCCTTGACAAAAGTGCCACCCTCAAAACGTTTTGGTGAAAAAAAGAGTTGAAGGCGAAACCAGCCGAGCAATGCTACGAAACTGATGGTGATGCTTCCTTCCCTGCGAGTTGAAACGCCGTTTTCTCATGAAACCCGAGCCGCCGCTCCCTTCTCAACTGCTTCCCGTTAGCAATCGTTCTATGAGACATCCACCCAGTGCACTGACTGTGCACACCTCCTCATATGCACCCGTCCTCGACGTCCATATCGACCATGCACAGACCGATAGTAACGGTACGCATATCAGCAACAGAAACACCTCCACTATCGTACCGGCTCGCCCAGAAGCGCTGGAAGGAGGGGTAATGGCGGTCCTTGGCCTTGACGTCGTACTTCATGATGGCCACCAGCATGAATGTAGAGCTCAACATCGCCAGCAGCATCAGCCCGACCTTCCATCGACGCGTGGAAAAAACACATGAAAAAATGTTCGGTTGCGTTTGGTGCTTTCCTGGCGGTGTCCGTCTTCTACAGAGAAAACAAGGTGGCCTCTAACAAGCGCATTGAGAGGTGAGACACGTTCATGTACCTTTTCGAGTGCTCGCATACGACTGTCTCAAGAAGAGCTGCGTCATGAAAGCGCTACGCCTGAACCACAAGTGAGCGCGTGATCCATCCGCACGCAACGTCAAAACGAGCAACACTTACCATTACCAATGTACTTCATACCGTTCCATATGGAAAGCACACAATTAAAAAAGTCGCCGGCCATTTCATCAAGAATCTCACCACGGACGCCGCGGTCGACCCGAAGAATATCAAGAGCACCGCGTTCACGTCACCTGGGAAAACCAAAAGTGGTGAGGGAAAGAGAGAGAGAGCGCCTACGTCGCTTACTCTGGATGGGCTTGCAAGCACAGCGGGCAGACGCCAGCCCCCCTGTTCTCGATTCGGTCTGACACCTACTGCTGTGCCTCCCTCTCCAACATGCCGAGGGGGGGAACACGATGTGTACTCCACCGCTAAATATACACCAGAGAGGCAATCGGCCTCAGACGCGGGAACCGCAGAGAACCGTTGCGTAGGACAAGCGCCCATTTGGAAGAGACACTGACGCCACTGGGGAAATAAAAAGTATTCGCGCCACCTAATCCCTGCTTCGCATATGGTGGGCAGAAGACCCACGCATCCTGGCATGGCTCCATTGAGCGTACTGGCGAGAGCCGGCTAAAACACACGCTAAAATGGCCAAGCTGTGTTCTCACGCAGTGTAGGATCCACCGCTGAGCTGGGTTTCTTAAATTGATCATTATTCCCGAAAGTTTGAGCCCGTTTTCTCTCAACATGTGTTCCCTCAATAGCGGAGCGGTACTACTGCTGCAGTGCGAGGCATAATGGGCAGGTAGCGAGCAAAGCCTTGACTACACGACGTGAAAGGAGGCTATGAACATGAGGCGCCGTCACGATCAAAGTAAACATTCACGCGAGCGCGAAGGACGACGCACTCGGGATGTTAACCTCCACCATCGCGACTAGGGCGAACCCGGCGATGAGGGCGGACAGCGAAGCCACCTGCTCTAGCTGCTTCGCCTTCTCCTCTACCTCGCGCTTTCGATCGTTTACGCCTCGCCACCAAACCTGATGGACAACAAACAGCGTGGCGTAACACCAAAGCCAAGCGTTAACGACGCTGTTAACGTTGTTTTTCGTGTTATGTTGTTGTTTGTTGTTGTTGTTGTTGCTGGTGGTCGTGGCGGTGGCGGTGGTGGTGATTTAGGTCTTGGTGGTGTCGGCTACATGGTGTTGCCGTTGGTGATGGTGGGATCGTGAGCAAGACAATATTTCGTGTCGGGGGTGCTGATACCCGCATAACTTCCCGAACAGCGCGCCCTGGTTGAAAGTGCTCCACGCTTCACTCCTACTGCTGTCCAGATTCAGAGGAGCGAGTGCCACCGTACTAGAGCACCACTGCCGTACAACGACCTTGGCAACAAAATCAAACGGTCTACGGAGAAGTCAACTCTGGGAGAGCATACGATATCCGTTTTCATTTCGTTAGAGTTTTATTTTTTCTTGTATTTTTCGCTCACCTCTTCCTGACGCCACTGCAGCTCTCGTCGGCGGAACTCCATATCCTCCTCTCGACACTTGATGTTCCACGCCATGTCTGCCATCTGCCTCCCTCCGCCCAAATCCATCGGTCGGCACCCGGGAGGAAAAATAACAATGTGAGGGAAAAACGGAACAGGTTGAAACGTCAGCGCGCGTCGTCACTCAACATCACTGTACAAAAACAATGTCGGTAACAATATGACGGGCGAAGAGCCTGGCGGTATTGATGCTCGAAGTTCCATATGTTTTTGACATTTGTCGTGTGTAGACCCGATCACCTATTACAAGGATGGGATTGCCATGGTCAATTGCGAACAGGTGGAGGCCCTACGATGACTCTAGGGACTGGTCCGATCACTTCAGTCTTGGCTCTTAGCGCCAATGCTCCGGCATGTTGCCCCATCTACACATGTGGTATTCGATCAACTTTAGTTGGTCTCCAATCCACCTCAATCGACCAACGCCAGCACGTGCCACATTAGATAGAACGTGTACTACGGTTGGAGCGACAGCTTAGCGGTTAAGCGTATTCTCGTCCACTGCCGTCCGTTGCCGTGCCGCGAATAACACGTGTTGAAGATTGCCAGGCTTCGGGCAGTTTGTGTCGAGACAATACACCGTCCTCTGTGTGTCACGGAACACGGATACCATGTAAATGGTACCACGGACGGTGCGAGTCCCTGCATAACTCGGCAGCGACAGGTTCGCACCACAAAGACCATGCGTGTCATCAAATGTTACAAAACGCGCACAAAGTTGTGCGAAACAAGCGTGGTTTGGACTGGATCCGACGACAGAGAGAGAGAGAGAGAGAGAGAGAGAGAGAAAAAGACAGCCCTGCAGAGAGACAGAGAGAGAGAGACGATGGGAGAGAGAGACGTCTGGAGCTGAAGGACGGAACAATCGGGTCTTCAACGGGTAGAGTTCGGGGGACCACCGACGTGCCCGCACAAAATAGCAATACCAAGGCGCCCCATTTCCATGCTGGCACTGGTGGGGGAGAGAGCAGTACGTTTGCCTGCCAGGGATAGCAGCACGGCCCTGGTTGCACCCACCTGCCCCCAGCACGAAGCTCCAACATGCACGCGTTTCAGGTAGGACAGAAGATGTCATTTCCGTTCGCACGTGCTGTGCACTGTGCACTCACGCACTGACTCTACTGTGGCATGGTACCATGGCAGCCAAGGGGTTCTCTGCCGTTGTAGACGCGTTGAAGCAGCACCCTGCGGCATCATTTTGCGTAGCCATGACTTGTACAGGACGATATCTACCAACGAGCTTTCAACGTCCGAGTTACCGCGTATCTCGTGACCGTCTGGGCGACGGCACCATACAACACGCTTTATTTTGCAAGCCCGTCGTGGACAAAGCGCTGGAAACACCATTCGACAAATATTTCTCCGAGTCATCTCTTCTTTGTTCACCTCATAACGCCATACTGCGTGACGCAATACACGAGAGGTAGGACGAATACATGCAGACGTCGGATGGGTGGGGCCTCCCTGCTCCCAACTGCAAAAACGCTGCTGCGCTGTGAACATCAATCAAAAACAGCATTAGAGGGACAGACGAGAGGGTGGACAGCACCAGGACGTCTACCCAATGATATCCTCAACAATGCCGGGTTGCATTGAGCTTGCACCGCGGAGGCAAGAAGTGTTGGTACCAGCAGTTAGAAACACAGCAGTAGTGGTTGCATCTCTGCAATCAAGATTGAAGACTGCTGTATTACGAAGCAGAAAGACTTTTTTACATAGCAGAGGAATCAACCATCGGGGACAAAGAGAATGAGAGATTGGAAGATGAGCAAAATGATCATTCCGGTTCAACTCACCCCCATTCCTCCACTTCCAAGCGCTCCTATGATATCCATATTGGCGTTTAGGTGCGTTCTTGCCTACACCTGGTCTACAGCTGGTGTGGTTGAGAGCAAGAGAGCGAAGACACCGGGGAAGCGGAGTAGGAAATGCGGCGGAATAGCCCACGTCGGTCTCCGGAGATCCGATAAAATCAGTCCGTTGGTCGGTTGCTCGTTGTCGCACATCGAAGTCTTTCGACCACCGCTCGTATTAGGCCCTGACCTGTTATGCTTATATCTTGACATTTTTACGCACGTTTTTCGGCACGTGCGTAAGCTCAAAAGGCGACTTATGCACGCTGGTCATGCTCAAAATGGCGACTTATGCACGCTGGTCATGCTCATTTTCCTCGCGTGTGCTCGTACTTCTGCACGCTTTTCTTTGTCCCTCGTGCTCGGGCAATGCTTGTTTTGATCGTTAATGCTCGACGTATGCGCGCGCGGTTGGCTTCGTCGACACGCTTTGTCTATTATGCCGTCTCCCACTGTCGAAATGTATATGAATAATTAATTGTGTTGCTGTATCACACAGCGCAAATTATCTTGGACTCTAGCCATTCAGGAAATGTTTCTTCGACGCATCCGACTACTACTACTCTGCACTCGNATGCTTATATCTTGACATTTTTACGCACGTTTTTCGGCACGTGCGTAAGCTCAAAAGGCGACTCATGCACGCTGGTTATACTCAAAATGGCAACTTATGCACGCTGGTCATGCTCATTTTCCTCGCGTGTGCTCGTACTTCTGCACGCTTTTCTTTGTCCCTCGTGCTCGGGCAATGCTTGTTTTGATCGTTAATGCTCGACGTATGCGCGCGCGGTTGGCTTCGTCGACACGCTTTGTCTATTATGCCGTCTCCCACTGTCGAAATGTATATGAATAATTAATTGTGTTGCTGTATCACACAGCGCAAATTATCTTGGACTCTAGCCATTCAGGAAATGTTTCTTCGACGCATCCGACTACTACTACTCTGCACTCGTTCGTTATAATATAGTCTAAGGGTGAAGAGGGGACTACTTTCCCGCATTCCCTTCACCCTTGGTCATCCGTGATCGCCATTCGGCAGACAGAGTAGATATATTTAATTCTGGAATCAATCGCGGTAAAATACTTCAAGCAATAATAAATGCGCCCCCAACAGCCCCTCCCTGCTGTTGTAGCAGTGTCAAACCCATCAGAACACCAAATCAATTGCTGCTGTCAGTGCCTCTAAAATCATGGACACATTCCACCCCCCCCCAGTAATTAATTGTCGATGCAACGAAAAATAGCAATGAAATTCAATTAAAAACAATCAACAGTCATAGCAGTGCGGGCTACTAGGCTATTATTGCTGTAAAATGGAACACCGCTGGCATACCACGTAATGGCCACTGAACCAAACAGCAGGGTTGCCGTGTTTCCTGCAACAAACCGCACAAACGTCAAGAAAAAAATTCAAGACAAAGCCATGCCACACACTCAATTCCAACAGGAACAAAAATACGCACAGACACTTATGACTTCCTTCCGTAGAATTCAACTGAAAATGCAGTACCAAACGAAACAGAAAAATAACAGCAACAAATAAGAAAGAGCCTCGAATACGATGTATCGGACTCATATCCAAGACACCACAAACACACACCACGGGCAGAACAGCGTAGTCGCGTACTCCCGTACTATTACTCTCCGCGCCCTCTTTTGTACTTGATTGAGAAGGGCAGCTGCGACAATGCGATCGCTGAAGCTCGACTCCTGCCTGTGGTCCATACATGCACGCAGAATAGAAAATGCTCGCTCCATGAAGGCAGAGGATGGCTGAATCAGTGATGTGCGGTGTGTCCTGTGTTCCTGTGGTCTTGGTCTCAAGTCTTCGGTCTTTACGTCTTTTCTCTCCTCTCTTCTTGTACAAAGTCAAGTAGTTTGAATCAACAGTCATCGAGGTTGGTTTAAACAACGAATGTTTTCAATTAACACCGAATATCCAATCAATCTCCAGATGATCTACAATTTGTGGTCTGATCTGTGAACTTGAAACTAAAGAGTTAAAAGACCAAGAGGGTTTGGAGGGGATAAAAAGGCTCTGTTTTGGTTACAATGAGCTGTCTGAGCGTCTGAGCCACCCCTTACCCCCATCTCACTCGTGCATAATCACCGCTATGCACGACAACCCCTGTTATGCACACTTTTATGCATTAAAAAATGTATATATGCGCGCTCCAACTTATGCTTTTGCTTATGCACGAAAAGTCCAGTTATGCACAAACATAAGCATGCAAAACAGGTCAGGGCCTACACCGCATGATCACGTGGGGCAAAAGAAACGAGCAGACACAACTCGAGACTTCGTGCCCCATTCGGCAATGTCTCACTCTATCAGCAGGCTGGTTCGTACGCGCTATCAAATTACGAAACTGACAAATGGCCTTTGGAGGTAGCCATAATGGTGGGCGAGGCCTATACGGCTTTGTAGAGGGTCGAAGACGCATTCAACAATATTCGCCCGGCCAGGGACATCCCACGGAGTCACCTGATTGGCTGCTGCTGTGGGGCCGTGTAGTTTGCCCGGAAAATGTAACGAAGATTCCGTGTCTTATTTTCTTCCGTCGTCGTTTTCGACCCGTCCCACCAACATTGCACAACACAACAGCTGTAGTCTTGGTGACCATCGTTCTTGACGTCTTGACATCGAAGTACCAAGGACTTGCACAGACAAGAGTCCTGCCGCCAGTATTTTCCCTTGCAGTGCGATACCTTGTTACTTTTGAAGACACGATGCGCAACATCGGAGACCCATCGAACGTGTGTTTTCACAAGGACAAACCGACCAGAAACGTCGGCTTCCGTTGCGAGGGCAACAAAAGACGGCACGCAGATTAGACTACTTCTTTTTTCGTTCTGAAACGAGATACTACCCTGTCATGCAACTATTTCTGATCAGAAACCGATTGAAGACCAATCGGAAGCACTCTAGAGGCCAACGCAGAGCAACACCTGTATCTCAAACGAAGATAGGACACAGACACCGATCACGTTTCACAATTTAACAAACGACACATACGTACGTATCACCGCGAATGTACCCCACGAAGCACTCATTACTGCCTGATGAGGTTGTCCTCACGCTTGCTGCCAGGTACACATTAATTTACATTTCTCACAATACAACCGAAAAGATGTCAACTGCGAAACTACCACAGTAGTAGTATCGCTGCAGTCTACACTTTCCTCGGACGACGACTTTCTCCCGCCAACATCCTCTCAAAACAGGTAGCTGTAGCTGTACCCGCGGGAGTCCAGCTTGCGCCAAGGAGCACCAGCCCACGCCGTTTCAAGAAGTCTCTGCCTAACCGTCGCGTACTCGCCGTAAGAGACTTCCAGCAAGCGTGCAGGCACCTTCGCCGCCGTCTTGTCCGAGCCCCCGCCCGCAGCCGCCGGGTCTCGCGGCGGCGACGCCTCGGACTCGGCCCCTCGCCGCTCCTCCTCGTCCGCTCGCTCAGCCTCCTCGAGGGATTCCTCGCGAAACGCTACCCGGTGAGCCCGGCCGGGCTTGCTGCCGCCGTCCACCGACACCAGGCTGTTCATCTTCACCAGCAGGAGGCTTAGGGAGCCGCCGGGGGCCGCGGGGGAGCGACCTTTCGCCGACAAGATGAAGCGGGCGCAGCCGTCCCTCTCGTTGTAGTGAGCCATCTCCCGCTGAAGCCACTTGATCGCCGTCCGGTTCTCAAACACTCGAGGAGATTTTTTTTCCGGAGAGCCCGCCGTCGCCTCCGGTGGTCCTCGCGCCAATCCTCCTTCAGTGGCGCTGCCGGTACCGCTGCGGTTGTCCATTGCCGCTTCTTGTTCCTCTCCTCCGCCTTTCGCGTCGGATGCACCGCATTGTCCACCTCCACCGCCTCCCATGCCGCCGCCGCCGTCGTCGTCATCCCCCAGCAGGCAGTGCTTCAAGAGAAGGAGGCCGACGCTCTCTTGCGAGCTGTTGTGCCCGATTGGCGAGGTAGCGGGTCGCCCGAGCGGCAGATCGCACCGCGCGCAATCGACACCCCGCCACTCCAGGTCATCTTCCTCCGGCATCATGCTGACCGCCCCTCCTCGGGCGTCGGCAACGGTCAGAGCGCCTCGGATCACGTCCCGCGGGTGCAGCAGCACCTCCGCCTGCGCCATCAGGCAGCGCCCGGGGCGAGCGAAGTTCACGTCCCTCGCGAGCATCGGCACCGCCTGGGGCCCGTCGTAGCAGATCATGTCCTCGATGCACTCGTCCCACCTGCCCGAGGGCATCGCCCTGACCGCCAGGATCCTCCCGGTCGGCGTTATTGGGTGCTTGCAGAACCGGCACCTCAGGCACGAGACGCGCTGAAGGCCCTCGTCGTCTAGGCCGTCGCTCTCAGCCTCTTCTTCCACGCTGCGGCCGCTGGCGGTACCACTGTAAGGCACTCCCACGACGCACATGCTCTCCGTCGCTTCGGCGGAGCACGACGCCCGGTCGCCGTCGAAGTCTTCCCTGCCGACGTCCGCGCGCTGGAGGAACTGCGCGTCGGGGAGGTCTCTGCCGGCCGCGTCGCGGCACGCAAAGCGCACCTCGCAGAGCTCCGCCCCCACGCGGGAGACTTGGAACTTGGTGACTTCGAACCCTGGCGGCTTGGAGAGGTACAGCTGGAGCTTCTTGATCCCGATGTGGTCTTCGAGGAGGAAGCGCTAGTTGGCGTGCAGGTGTGTCGTGGGAAGGGGAGGCAGAGGGAACCGCGGGAGGGGAGCCGTAAGGGCGGGGAGAGGAGAGGCGGAAACGCCTACACCAAGAATCACACGTCCTTCTGGGGCTCTGGATGACGGCCTTGCGGTTCTCTGGTAAAACACGGGCAGCAAAACATCGCTGCAACAACGGATGGCCTCTCAGCCTTGCGTTCATTTGGTTCACCCATTCATGTATTCCCCGGGAAACTCCTTTTCAATCGAAACATGCCGGCCGTGTGTGGAGCAGAAACCCCACCGCATCACCAACGAGCTCCCAAACGTTGGGTTCGAAAAGACGTAACCATTGCACCCTCCATGGCACGTCGGCATGAAGCCGCAAAAAACAAATCACTCCAAACCAGGTCGCTGCCACCGCACAACGACCTCTCCGTCTCACCTCCGGGGCCTTGACGTTGTGGTAGCTGGCAACACCGCCAACTTTGGGCGATCGCACGTGCTCCCTCGGCACTGTTGGAGGAGTCGGCACCGGCTTTGACGGCCCCAAGCCGGCGGCCGCGGGGGACTTCTTCAGCTCCGGCGCATCGCCGACCGCCGGAGGCTCGTGGGTCTTGCTCGTGTCGTCTACTAGACTCCGCGTAGTGGCGGCCTGTGGTTCCGACTCGTCCTGCTTGAAAGGGCGTTTCCAAAAATCTTGGGTCCGCTTGCAGAGGCTGTGCGAGATCGCCGAGGGCACGGGTTACAACGAAACGAGGGGTGCACGAGGTTGTGGCAACGAGAATCTTGTTTCGAAGCGGGGCTAAAACATCGCAAAAACTACATGCCACAAATCAGGGATGCGGCCTGACCACGTGTTTGCTCCAAAACGATGTAGATCCAATTCACTGTAGCACGAAACGAACGCGATATGCATGTGGGTTCCTGGTCGAATCTACTCATCAAAGGCCTCGGCCCGTTCGACCGCCCATCCCGATGCGGCGGCGTGGCGTAGTAGGCCCGCACTAACCCCCTTCCTATTCTCATTAACGAAGGCAAATCCAACAGACAACGTCCTGACTTGCTACCCGCCACGGTTTTTCTAGCGGCAGGTGTAGTAAAAACTCACTGACCTCAGAACAAGCACTCTCTTGTCTTCGATGCACCAAGTGGATTCGCCGGTCACGTACCCGTGAAACTCCCGGTCCAGCAGCACCTCGGGGTCCCCCCCGCCGGGTGGCGGCTGGTAGCAGGCCTTGACTCGCGTCGCGTCCATCGATACGGGCAGCGTAGACGGCGAGACATCCTTGTCGAGCTTGAGCTCATACGTGGCGGAGACACTGTCTTCCGAAAAGCTCTCCCGCGAACCCCAGGGTAGGGCGGGTTTGGGTGGCCGCGTCGCTTCGGGTAGCGGCGTTGCTTCAGGCGGCCGCGTCGCCGCTTTGCGTTCCAAGAGGCTGGAAAATATCTCATCGCCTGACTCCAATTTCTTTGGAGTAGGCGGCCTCTTCTCGGAGAGGAGGTCTCTACTTTTCCCCAAGCATTTGTCTCTGGCGAGGAGGTCTTCTAATTGCGCCAAGCTTTTGACTTCTTTGGTGAGGATGTCGTCCATTGTCCCCAGGAGTTCTCTGGAGGGAAGCTCGTGTAGTTCCCCCAAGCCTTCACTAGAAGGCTTTTTTTGCCCACGCTCCTCGGGCGAAGGAACGACGCCCGTGTCGCTCGCGGACGAGGGCGCTCTCCGACCACCACCACGGCCGGTTGCACTCGCCGGCCCCTCCTCGACCGCGCCGGCGGCGGCCCCGTTCCCTGCGTAGTTCTTCGCCTGCCGCGGAGAAGCTGCACCGCTGCCGCCCCTCTTGAGGACGGTGTACGCGTACACGCGATCGTTCGTGCCGTCGGAGCCCCCCTTCCACCCCTGGACAGGGACGGCGAGCGGCTGGTCCGCGGTCGACCCGGGGCCGCACATAGCCAGGAGAGGAGCCAGCAGCTTCTCCCCCGGCGTGTTGCTGATGACGAAGAACTTGCCGCCGGGCTCCAGTACACGCATCACCTCCTGGCAGATGCGGCGAGCGCGCTCCAACCCTCCGGACAGCACGGCGTCGATCGTCCCCTTGTCGACAACGCCTCCGAAGGTTTCGCCGTCGCACTGGCTGAGTTCACAGGCGTCCATCACTTGGTACCTCAAGACGGGGTACATTAACGCACCGAGATGTACCGACGAGGCGGGGGCGGGGGGGGG